GTTTCAAAAAAGGCAGGTAATTTTCAATTTGAAAATAGAAAATAAACTATTGCTGCATGGTAGAAATAATGGCAATGTTTAAACAACATACCCACAAAAAACAAATGAAGTCAAAAGGATGGCTTTTCTGTTGATACCACTATTATTTTTACTATCATCACTCCCTCAGCAATATTTATTTCCAAGATTATAAAACTATGTCAACTAAATACTATATGATATATGTTATTTACCTTTATAATTTTTTTTTTAATTCCATGACCAGTAGGGTCATGGGAGCGCCATGCGTGCTGCAGCTGCATTAGAAATGGTGTTTCATGGGCAAGAGCACTGGACAGAGCTTAACCCTCTCCAAGCCAGAAGTTTTGAATTCAGAGCTTTTCCTTCTCCTAAACCGGTTCCCACCCAAGGCTATAGAACCCAGTCTGTCCTACTATTTACCCATAACTGGTGTGGGGTGGTGGGGAGAAAAAAAGGATTCATACCTTTCCCATGCGTATTAGCATGTAGGTGAATGTAATGGACCTGACTGGAATTCGAACTCGGATCTCCGATTATTCAGTATGAGCCACTATCCATTATTCCACTGTGACTCCCATTAATCATTTACTGTTTTATAAAGAAATAAATGTGAAAAGAAGTTTTTTCATTATAAATTTATGAAGAAAAAAATGTATTTATTTATAAATTGGTAATTGATAAACGTTGTATCATATGAATTCATTCACATTTTTTCAGAATATTGTAGATATAAAATTATTCTTGTAAATAAACAATCTGATAAATAAATAATGTATATTGCTTTTGTTGTAAATTCTCAGAGAACAAAGAAAATGTACACTATTTACATTATTCGGACTATTGTCCTCATCTTTGTTGCCATGTTTATCACAACATTTTGGCTGTTGTACGCTCCGGCCTTCTTCAATGCATACAACGGCCAAAACATTATGATAAACATGGCGACAAAGATGAGGACAATAGTCTGAATAATGGTGTAAATAATACCTCATCTCAGAAGTTATGAGGTACATAATACCTCATCTCTGAAATTATCAGGTACATAATACCTCATCTCAGAAATATAAACAGATGCCAAAGAAAATGTATAAATTAACTTTCATATGTTTGGGCTTTATTAAAATTCAAATTACTTTTTAAATAAACATTGCAAAGGGAGTTGAAGGTAGTTAAAATAATAGCAGTGTCAAGGGAAAAACCATAATTTTGACAATCCTCATTACAAAGCTGATACATGATATTAAGAATATTTTCTTCCTTTCTATATTCTTTCAGTCATTTTCCTTCTCTTCTGTGTGCCATTCCCCTTCATGACACATGTAATCATGGCTCTCCACAACTTTCTGTCCTTTTCAGTGTTCTGCCATTATTTATACAAGCTTGTTTGGTAGGTTACTCATGGTTTCCTTCTGCTCTTCTTGACTTCACTATGTCCTGTGAGTGTCACATTCTACAAGCCCCCTTTCTTTATGTATTCTGTAAATTTCAAGAATCCTTTTTGTATCCCACTTTCCTTAAAAACTTCCTCATTGCACACATATTCCGTCCATGATATTCTTTGCATCCTTCTGTAGAATAACATCCCTGTTACCTCAAATCTCCTATTTATCAGTGAGGAAATTATCCAGTTGTCACTGCCATGTAAGAAGATTAATATTATTTAGCACTTTTACTTTTGAATGAAATTTTTCTTGTATTTTTATCATTTGCTTCACTTCTGGAAGGCATATTTCACTACAAAAATGCAATTTTGAATTTCTGCATCACATCATCTTCCTTATATATATATATATATATATATATATATATATATATATATATATATATATATTAAAGATGACAGTAGTGAAGATACTTCTGCTACTACCAATAATTGTCAGAGATAAGTGTTACTGGTTGTAAATCTGCTATGAAGGACATTATTCTGTTGTCAGAAAAAGTGTCACATTCATACTGGTCATGATGGTCAAGTTTTCAAGTGTCTCCCGTGGTTGTCGTGGTGATGATGCTATTGACATTAAATTGTTGACACCAGAAGTGCTCGTTAATCAGTTCATATTTCCTTAGTTTAGGGAGGAAGTATGGTTCCTGTTTGGGCTTCTTTGTCTTTGCGATATCAGTGTCATAACACACACACACACACACACACACAGAGAGGGTGGGGGATGCAAACGGATACTGGACTGGTTTGGTAGCAAAAGCATTCTTTGGGAGTGGGGAGGACACGGTAGTTAGGTGCATTCAATATAAATGGAAGAAGCATTTTCATTTACTGCTAGTTTTAAACAAACTTTACTTATATATATATATATGTGTGTTTGTGTGTATATATACTGGCTGTAACAGCAAAATTGTCCAAGTCATGTTACAGCATAATTGTCCATCCCACAAAATGTTTAATATCTGAAAAAAACACTAGATTAATTTGAGTTTCTTTTTCCTAGATTTTCAGATATGATGGTTAGCCATCTTGACACCATTTGTCGTAAGAATCACAGAAAAATCCTTTGAGTTATTCAACTAGAAAGAGGACAAGATAAAATCGGTTTGTGCCAGCCCCACTGTCTTCTCTAACTGAGCAATGGTGAGAGGAAAAAGATCATTCAGGCATTTTATAATGGTACAAAAATTCATACTCTGGCTTCCATCTTCAAAGTCCATTCAAGAACTATCAAGAGAATGGCGGATAAGTTTTAAAAAAGAGGGAACAGTAGAGTTGAAAATACAACAAGAGGTCACAACAGCAAGAGAGATCATTATTTCAACTTAGATCTAAATACATTCTTATTGTTCAAACTAGAGTTCAATAGCATTATAAAAACGTAGGAGAATTCCAGTAAGATATCTTTAATCATGTCTAAGATACAACAGTTTAAAGCTTAATCTAACAATTGAACAATTTTACTATTACACCCACTATATATATATATATATATATATATATATATATATATATATACACACACAGGGTGATTGAAAAGTAACTCAAATATATAAATACTTATAATTTATTTATCAAGTATTGTTTTTACAAGAAATGGATATGTTAGGAAAGTGTATAGCATGAAGTTTTATTTAAAATTCAATATGGGCATCCTTTTCTTTGTCTTTTTCTCGTCACTAAAGTCATTCTTTTTCACTTAACTCCTTGTGTCTTAGTGGCATTATCATCTTGCCTAAAAGCATGGACGATAATTATTCACATAAATACAGTAGTATTTACTGTATGTTGGTCGTTTCATTGTAGAATTCACTAGACAACAGTTGACAATTTGTTCTAATCCCTGTTCTTGTCCTAAGTATTATCATTCATTACCAACTTTTGCTAAATGATTAAAACAAAAAATTTGTTAGTGTTGAGCTTAGAGCAATACTAACATTTAATGCATTCCTTGTTCCAAATTTAAACTAACGACTAGGAAATGCATTACTCACATTGTAGTAACCACCCCCTCATTCCTTCCGTATTCTTGGTGAAAAGTAAATTTTTACTTAAGCAGCTTAAATTAACCACTGCTCTGTGGAACCATTCCTTCCAATCTTGAGTTAACCGCTATCTTCCACATATCTGCATAATTGTGCCTAAGTTTCCCCTTTAACACATACCTCTTTCCAACTTTTCCTTTATCTGGTGTTGCACAAACTCTGAATTCAGTGAGACAGGTATAATGGAGGAGGAAGAATAGGAAGGAGAATCAGTTTATTTATTTTATTTTTCTACCTGCTTTGGAACTTTTCTTTATTTCTCAGCATCTTATTAGACAGGTGAGACCCAGTTGTGTTCACTTCCCTTACTGAATTTACGTCCAAGAGGTCAGAGGCAGAAGCAACCCCCCAGAATTTAAAACTTGAAGAGGCAGCCACCTTTTAATAATATATGCTTGTAAAATGGATTTTAATATTTTGTGAGGGTGTTATATTTGTGTTGATTCTTCCTTCTGAGAAACATCTGTTTGACAATTCAGTGAGATAAAAGGTATAATGGAGGAGTGAAGAATAGGAAGGAGAATGGACTGTTTTGTTAGGGTAGAGGTCAGACTCCCCCCCCAAAAGACACCTTTTTATATATGACCCGATTTGTGGGCTTCTTCCCACCCTGTTCAGTGTGGGGTATATGTACAGACCCAAAAGAGTATTGCCACCCAATTACCATTAGACAAAAAAAGAAAAAAAAAAAAAATTTCATTATCCATCTTTCTTCTTTTTTTCTATTGTTAGGATTGTCTTCATCATCTAAATATTTGAACAACAGAAAAAGTTTTGGAGGTAAAAAGATGACCACTGAGATAGAAATTCAAGTTGCTATGTTAAAAGTGTCTGACAGGAGGCTGATGAAAAGAGACTGAAATAATGATGTGGCATCATCTGCCACTGTGAAGGTATTGTGGGCAACGAATTACACTTGGTCCCCTGGGGAAGGAAAGTATTAGTTTGGTTTAGTTTGTTTTATGGCATATCAACCTCAATGGGTTATTTAATGCTGACAAGATTTTTATTGCTGGTAATTTTTTTTTTTTTTCAAAAAGTATTTTTTGTAATATTTTTTCCAAAATAAGTATTTATGGTAACAATTTTTTTCTTCGAAAATTTATTGCTTGTAATATTTTTTTTACAAAAATGCTTTGCTGGTATTAAAAGCTATTTTACGCATTTTGACCCCAGTTTGGGGATTAACTATTTACCCACAGCTGGATCCCTAACAGGTGCCACCACCTTGGGTCATGGTGAACCTGGGAACAAAAGCAATTAAGAGGTGGTTCCATACTCCTCAAAACCTCCTGATCAGATGCCTTGCTGCCAGTTGTAGTTTATCGTCTTACCCAGGGGGAGGGAAGTAATGTATTGTTGTTAGAAAGAAGAGTAAAGTTGGATATTGTCTAAGGGAAGTTGGCAAAGAGTTTTAACATCACTTATATTGTTTTTTTTTTGTTTTGTTTTTTTGGTCTTTTGTACACAAAAGTAAATAAATACATTTCTGCATGTGTCTACATAGAATAAGTGCAAACAAATTTATAAATATACACAAAATAACAGCTGTGCACTTTCTGTGCATCTATAATGAGATAATTCTTCTTTTTTCCCCTCCTCTCTTTTTGACACCTCCCTCTCTCTGCTGGCCATTCATTCTCTCTTTCTCTCTCTCATCCTTTACCTTTTGTTCTCTCTCTTCCTTTTTCTTTCCTTGTGTCTCTCTCACCATCCGTGGCTTTCATTCTCACTCTCATCATTCATTCTCTCTCCCCTCCTATCCTTTCTTTCTCAGTCTTCCTTTACTGTTCCTGTTGTCTCTCCCTCTCGATCTCCATTTTCCTTCCTTTTGTCTTTTTCTTCCTTCTGTTATCTCTCTCTTCCTTCTCCCTCTCTCAGTTTATACTTCTTTCATTTTCCCACATTTCATTCTCTCTCTCTTCTCACATTTTTCATTCTCTCTCTCTTCCCATTTATTGCCTTCTCTTTTTCCCCATTCTCTTCATTCTTTTAACTGTCTCACCATTCTCTCTCTTCCCACTCTTTTTATTTTCTCCCTCTTCCCATTTTTTCCTCTCTCTTTTCCCACTCCATTTGTTTTTTCTAGGCCCTCTCTCCATTCTCTCAACTTTCACACCTCCTCATTCTCCCCCTATCCCCTTTTATCTTTCCACTTTCTTCATTCTTTTTCTCTCTCCTATTTCATTGTGATTTATTCACCTGAAGATGGCTTTAAAATGGACAGGTTGAAACATCTTTCAGTTTCACCTCATTTCATTCTTCATTTTCTCACTTGTTCATTCTTTCTCTCGCTTCCAACTGTCTCCATTTTCTCTTTCTCTCTCTTCCCATTTTTTCCTTCTCTCTTTTTCCATGTTCATTGTTCTTTCTTACCAATCTCTTCTTTCTCTCAACTTTGACCATTCTCTCTCTCTCTCACATTTTATTCTCTTTATTCTCTCTCTCCCATTTATTTCCGTCTCTCTTTTCCTATGTTCTTTGCTCTAAGAAAATGGAAAAGTTGGTTAGTGAGGATGGACCTTTCTCTCTCATTATGATTTATCCATCTGAAATGGACTGTAGAATGGATAGGCTGGAAAATGGTGCAAACATCAACAGCAGTACAAATGTCTGAACAAAGCTTGGAATATATTCATTAAATTCTATTTGAGACAAAGCACAAATAGAGCAGTTTTACCTCATTCTGCAGCTGCCCCAGTTTGGCAAATTAAAAGTATAAATATGCATTAATATGAGGGAAAGTCAAAAATTATCCACACTCTTGTCTGAAGATATCTTATGGTAAAAATGTGGATAATTTTTGACTTAACCTCATACATGCCTGTTCAGTTTTAATGTAATTTATGGAACAAATTATTTTCCCATTTTATCAGTTAAAAACAATATATTTTTTTTTATCATAACTAAGTTACCATTGTCTGTTTATTGACATCCCTAATATGTAACTCGCAGCTTGCAGTGTCTCTTTTGCTCACATCATGTATTCTGTCATTTTACATTTAATGGTAATCTTTTTGCTTTCATTGATTACCATTGTTTAATAGCCCTTACAGTTTTCTTTTTGAATCTGTCATCAACACTGTCATCTCTGTAGAGGAATTTTGCCTAATTTAAGCAACTGCCTTGATTTAGTAAATTAAAAATATAAATACATGCCTCTTCCATTTTGTATCTGTCTATATTTCTGAGATGAAGTATTATGTACATTATTTACATTATTCGAACTATTGTCCTCATCTTTGTTGCCATATTTATTACAACGTTTCGGCCATTGTACGCTCCGGCCTTCTTCAGGTGGTTGGAATGTCAAACTTAACCCTTTATTTCACTCACTGGGGTAGATTGTTCTAGTTCCACGTGCCATGTTTGATGGATGTCAGTTATCAGTTATCTCCTGTTAATTTCCCTCTGAAAGTTCTCCACTGCCTTAACCAGATATTGAACTCACACTCTTTGGGTCCTGTCACTGGATCTAACCCTCGCCTTTATCCACCGTGCCATGTGTCCTTTCAGTGGAGAACATTTAGAGGGAAATTAATTAAATTTTTTTTATCACAACTAATTTTAAAAAAATGACAGTTGAATTTAAGCAATTTTTACAATCGCATTAGTTATATTTTCGGCATGGGTAAACTTGGATTTTCATTACTGTAACTAACTCTATTGTCATGTTTAAGGAAGAATTCTGCTTTTTAAATCCTTAGGTGTAAAAATATTAACAAAAAAAAAGATTATGTGTATTAGTAGCCTGGTCACCCCTACTTGTAAAAATTCACTTTCATCATATGTTTAGATTTTATTAAAATTCTAATCATCCCTTTTTAGAATAATAAACATTACTGAGGAGTGAAGGTAGTCAGAATAATAGCAGTGTCAAGGGAAAAATTGTCCTTTTGATACACCTCTATTGCAGGCACAAACATCCAAATTTGCCTCTGTTTTTTAAATCATTAAAAGTATAAAAAATATCCACAAAAAGCAAACGTAATCCATACTGTCAAAAAATGATGGCCATTTTTAGTCATTTTGTAATTCTATTGTTTATATTTCTGCATGTTTAATTTAGTAGTGACATCTATATGATTAACTCTATTGCCACATGTAAGAAAGAAACTCTTGCCACATGTAAGAAAGAAACTCTTGCCACATATAGAGACAGAAATTCCATTGCCACATGTAAGAAAGAATTTTGCTTTTAAAATCATTATAAATAAAAAATATATACAAAAACGTCTGATGTCATATTAAAGTAAATTTGCAATTGCATTTGCTATATTTTTAATCCTGCATTTTAGGTGACTGGTGACATTATACACAGGTAAATTTTTCCTGGAGAATTTAAAATTTATGTAAAAAATTCAGGGTTTGCAGTATACATGAAGTCAGCTTATACACAAGTGGAAACAATAATTTCATAATTTCACTGCATGAGTAAACTCTGTTTTATCTCTACAATTGATTACTTTTTTTTTACAACTTAAAAACATTTTGTAGGTTATTTAAAGCCAACATGTATTTCTGATTTGATAGAATAATTAACTTTTTTTTTTTTTTTTTTTTTGCAAGTGAATATTGTATTCATTTTTTTGGAGATAATAAAGATTTTCAGTTACAAGTTCTACTGTTTAACCCATAGATTAGAGGTTGGGGGGGGGGTTAATACCTTTCCTAAGTGTATTTGCATATGTGAATGTAATAAACCCTACTGGGATTTTAAGTCTGCTCTCTGATTTCAAATTCTGAGCGGTTATTCAATACTTCAGCTGGCATTCCCAAGTGGTCACCATTTTAGTTACTAACCAGGTACTAACTTTCTAGGTACTAAGCAGGTTTAACATCACTGATTGGATGAGAACTAGTGTTGCCAGAAAGACAGTAAAGAAAAGCAAACATTGCTAAGAGTGACAAATGGTAGGAATTTGTGGAGAGCCATGATCACCCACGTCTGGAAGGACCATGGCATATAAAAAAGAAAAATAAGAAATAAGAAGTAACCACGTTCCGTTTCCTGTCAAGCATTTTATCTGACTTTAACTTTATTTTCCGATCAATACTTTGAAAATGTTCAACTTAAGTGACCATTGTTATGACTTCCAATAGCCCTCTTAACTAACACAATCGCATCTCCAGAAACACATCCTACTTTGTCGGAATCCTTAAAGGATAAAAGTCTGTTTTTCTTGCTGATATTTGACACATTTAAATCTCTATATCCCAAGTAGATTATCGTGCTTGATTAGCTTGGGTTCTTTGTCCAAATTCTCTGTGACTGACATACTCTGATGCTTCCGTTTTAGCATGACCAAATCACAGAATTGCTTAATACTGGATGCAGCTGATCCTAAGCCGATTAATTCTCTCTCTCTCTCTCTCTCTCTCTCTCTGAACAACAAGTCTTAGTCCTATTACAGGTAAAATAACAGTTCATCATCCAATGTTTTATTTCTAAGTTTATTGCTCAGCATTTTAGTTTAAATGTTGTATTTTCTTTTAAGAAAATCTTGGTTGACTGTATTGCAGTTTATTTTAACACTGTTTATTTAGTTAACCAGGATTTATTAAATATGACAAAACCTTCATTCACTGTAATGGTTATATATAAAGTGAAATAGAAAATATTAAAAGAATATATTTAGAGATTTTCTATAGTAATTCATTGCAAATAATTTTACTACAGAAATTGCAAAGCAAATTATTTTACTATAGCTATGCCTTGTTAATTATTTTAACACCTGCTATTTAAGTAATGTATCATACCACTCATAGGATTTATTAAAGATATATTGAGACTTTCATTCATTGTAATAATTATATATAAAGAGACAGAGAAAATATTAAGATAATATATAAAAATGCATTAAAAGTTTTCCTATTGTAAATTCATTTTACTATAGAAATGCATTGCAAATTATTTTACTATAGAAAATTCATGGGAAATTATTTTACTATAGAAAATTCATTGCAAATTTTTTTACTATAGAGATGCATAGCAAATTATTTTAACACTATGTAACCAGTAATTCAGATATGGGATTTATTAAACAAATATGTTCAAATTTTAATTTACTTTAATGATCATCTATAGAGCAACATAGAAATTTTTAAAAGTATTTATAGAGCTTGTATTAAAGTTTATTTTATTGTAGAAATGCATATCAAATTAATTTATTATAGAAATACATGGAAAATTATTTGGCATTATGTAACCAGTAATTTCACCTATAGGATTTGTTAAACAAATATATTAAAATTTTAGTTTACTTTTCTGATCATCTATAGAGTGGCTTAGAGAATATTAAAAGTATGTGTAGAATGATATTGTAAGTGATTTTACTCTCAGTGTTCATTGTAATTTATAGATTTTTAGATTTAGTGTTAATTATTTTACTATAGTAATACATCGCAAATGATTTTACTATAAAAGTGCCTTGCAAATTAATTTACTATAGGATTCTATTGCCACTTATTTTACTATAAAAATACCTTGTTAGTTATTTTAGTACCAACTATTTAGCTAACCAGTGATATTACATACAGAATTTATTAAACAAATATTATGAAGCCCTCATTACATTGAAAGTATTTTCTATCAGAATTCATTGCAAATGCTTACAATGTAGTAATGCATTGCAAATTAATTTACTATAGGGATGCATTGGCAATTATTTTATGATACTAATGCATAGTTAATTATTCACTGTAATGATTATATATAAAGAGGCTTGTAAATTATTTTCTAGAACAAATTCATTGTAAATTAGATATGCTTTTCTAATTGTATCACTATAGGAATGCTTTGTAAATTAATTTACTATAGATTGCAATTCAAATTTACTATAGTAATCCACTGCAGATTAATTTATTATAGATTTTATTGCAAATTATTTTACTATATTTTTGCATGACAAATTAGTTTAATATAGTGTTGCGTTGCAAATTAATTTAGTATAAAAATGCATTGCAAATTATTTTAATATAGAATTGCATTGCAAATTATTTTACTATAGAAATGAATTGCAAATTAATTTACTATAGAAATGAATTGCAAATTATTTTAACATAGAATCTACATTGCAAATTATTTTACTATAGAAATGCATTACACTTTATTTCAACTCTTCATATCATCCTGCAGCTTTATACTTTACAAAATGTGAATGCCATGATGGAACAACTCAGGTACCTTTAAATCTAAGTGGATAACTGATTGGGTAAATAAAAAAAAATTTAACCTCTGTATGAGATAATGTCTTCGTTGGTGTATGTCTAATCAGAAAGTCTTTCTTTAGTCGCTGACTGCTGCTTGTTGCTATATTTGACTATTTTTTTATGTCTGGCCAACACAAGAAATAAAACAATGGGTTTTTATCTCTCTCAAGGTTGACAATGTGTAAGAAGTTTTTATTGCGATTACTTAGTCCTCCGGTATGGTAGAGAATACTGGACAATTTCCTCACAGATGAAAAGAAGACTAAAGACCACAAGAACATGGTTCTATTCTGAAGGCTGTGAACTGGACGAGTAAGAAACAAGGATGTTTTAAGGAAATTAGAAACCAAAAGGGCTCATACTCAGAATCAGAAAGATAGCTGAAATGTCTTGGACATATAATGAGGAAGGAGAGCTTGGAGAATTTGACACTTACAGGACATGTCGAAGTTACAAAGAGAGGTAGCAGGCCGCCTCCCTAAAGAGTTTTTGTGAATGGATAGCAGAATAGCCACTGGGCTGGATAAGAAGACAGACGTTACGAAGAGTTACTAAGAATAGGAAGTTGTGGAGAACCACGATCGCCCACGTCCTGAAGGGACACGACACAGAAAAGATGGGACTTAGGTATAGAATCTAGTTAGGGCAGACGGTTTTGCCCAAGTGCTTATTTCACTGCATTTTCTTTTTTGTCAACTTTTGCGGTATGCCAAAGAGGAGACATTTTGTCTAGATGGCTGACGATGGAAGGGAGCGGTGGGAGGAAACGGTTTTTATGCCTTTCCCAAGAGCATTAGTAGGAAGTAGCGTCACCAAAAATTAAAATTGGACTCTCTGATATTGTTCTCTGTGCTGACAGATATTGCTGCCACCCCATACTTCCAGAACAACAGGCATCTGTGTTATTAACAGTTTGCTTACATGCATGTATGCGCGTGTATAACTATGTCTGAAGAATGTGTATGTATGTGTATGCCTTAAATGATTTATATTTATGTATAGACAGACATGTGTGTACAAGTGTAGAGAGCTCTCTTTCTCGCCCCCCCCTCTCTCTCTCTCAAGAATTTTGGATAGATTATTTAACCAAATGCTTACTCTGATCTGTTCATGTCTTTTGTCATATGTCTGCCTACCTCGGCCTATTTACGTTTTATTTTCCTTGCCTGCCTACCTCGGCCTATTTACGTTTTATTTTCCTTGCCTGCCTACCTCGGCCTATTTACGTTTTATTTTCCTTGTCTGCCTACCTCGGCCTATTTACGTTTTATTTTCCTTGCCTGCCTACCTCGGCCTATTTACGTTTTATTTTCCTTGCCTGCCTACCTCGGCCTATTAATATCTTTCTGTCTATTTGGGCCTATTCGTGTTCTTCTGCTTGCTTACTTTGGCTATTCGCGTCAGTTTTATTTACCAAGCTTGGTCTATTCACGCCTTCCGGGAGACCTTGGGCCATTTACGTTTTTTCACCTACCTCATCACGTTTTGTTTTTTGCTATTGACGATCTCGATATATTCACGTTTATTACACTGCCTATCTCGGCCTATTGGCATCTTATTTTGTCCTGCCTATCTCGGCCTTTATAAAAGAAGGATTATTGCCCAATATAGCTTTATATATATATATATATATATATATATATAGAGAGAGAGAGAGAGAGAGTAAGTTTTAAGGTATTCTATATTTATGGATTAAAGTGTTCAGGGATAGAGCGTATATACATATATAAAGTAAACATTGAAGTCAACACCCAGTGAGTGGTTGGGTGTTGACTTCAATGTCCACTTTATATATATATAATATATATATGTATAATATATTATATATTAAAGACATTTTTTATGTTTACGTTGTTATTTATAGATATACAAGTATTTAAGAAATAAGTATTTTTTTACCGGCCTGAATGTCCGAGAAATTTTCATAGAAAATATTCGTTCTTGACAGGATTCGAACCTGCATCCTATACGGCCGGATTCAGGCCGGTAAATGTTATTTAATAAACAGAAACATCCTGTATCTATCTCGGCCCTTTTATAAAAAGAATATATATGTTTGCTTAAATGTATAATATATTATATATATATATATATATATATAATATTAAATATGTATAACGTATATATATATATATATATAAATATATTTATATAAATTAAATTATATATATATAGAGAGTTATATATTTATATAATATATATATATAATATATATATATATAATATATTATATATATATATATATAATATATATATTATATATATATATAATATATTATATATATATATAATGTATATATATATATATATATATATATAATATATTAAGTATATATATATATATATATAATATATAATATATTATATATATATATATATATATATATTATATATATAATGTCCATATATATATATAATATATATATATATATATATATATATATATATATATATATATATATATATATATATATATATATATATATATATATATATATATATATATATATATATATATATATAATATATTATATATATATATATATATATATATAATATATTATATATATATATATATATATATATATATATATATATATAATATATATATTATATATATATATATATGCATAATATATATATATATATATATATATATATATATATATATATATATATATATATATGTATAATATATATATATATATATATATATATGTATATATATATGTATATATATATATATATATATATATAATGTATATATGTATAATATATTAATATATATATATATATATATTATATATATATATATATATATATATATATATATATATATATATATATATATATATATATATATATATATATAATATATATATATATATATATATATATATATATATATATATATATATATATATATATATATATATATATATATAATCATTTGACCCCCAACGAAAGACGCAAGGAGTTATTGGGAGTGAAAGAGAATGAAAAGACTATTGAGGGAAGGACAATAAACGAACAGCTTTCAGGATAACAGAAGATGACGTTTCATTTAAATTTTTGAAAAATTGTAAATGTCTGGGAAGTAAAAGATCAGAATGGATTTCCGCAGGTGAGAAGTGCGAGAAAAGAAACTGTTAGTATAGATGTGGTGGTTGCACCAAGCTAGTTGAACAGTATGACAGGGAGACCTATTTTCCAACCTAGTAGCACGCTTAAGTTCATGTAGTCGAGGCACGAGGGAAAACAGAGAAGTTGTCGTGAAAATATTTGTAGAAAAGACAGAGGGAAGCGACTTCACGTTGGTGAGAAAGTTGCTGACGTCAAGATTTTTTTCTCACTCAGAATTGCTTGTCATCTTCCTCCCACATTCCATTGATTTTCTTTTTGATTTATCCTCCCCCCGCTTCCTAGTCTTCATTTTTCTCTCGTTTTCTCTCTCACGCTCTCTCTCTCTCACTCACGCTCTCTCTCTTTCTTACGCTCTCTCTCTCTCTCTCTCACGCTCTCTTCATTCCTTAGGTTTACGGCCATATCACGTTGAAACACCGGTTCCCGTGCGATCACCGAAGTTAAGCAAAGTCTGGTTTTTATCTAGATGGGTGACCTCTTGGGAATACCAGGTGCTGTAGGCTTGGATGTGCAGGTGGTGTAATATGTAATGGCTCAGAATTGTTAATCGGAGAGCCGAGTTCCAATTCCAGTTGGGTTCGTTATATTCACTTACGTGCAAATACCTTTAGGAAAGGTATGAATCCACTTTTATCTCCCCAGCTACGGGTTAATTAGTAAGATTTGTATCACTAAATCATTATAATCTAAAAACTGAATCCTTAGAATTTTAAAATATTTTCTCCCTTTAAATAACCTGGAACGGCTTGGTAATCATCAATCAATCAATTTTCCATGTTTTTTTTTTCGTTTTTGATTTTTTTCGCGGACCAGTTAAATTTAGTAGTGCCTTAGTATGTGTTCTTATTTTTCCTATTCAATAAGTATTTGCCGCGTTCATTGAGTGTTAATGACGGATGTTTTTTTTATGTGTGCAAAAAAACTTCCTTAATTTCTTGGTCTTCTGTAATTTCTTGGTCAAAGTGTTTGTTTTGTCAATGTTTTTTTTTTCTCTTTTAAAATCCAACAAAAGACGATGAGTTCAAATTAATTCTTTGCATTTAACGACTGTAGATTCAATGCCAAATTGTTTTAATTTGTAGACACAACATTTCCGCTTTGTAAGGATCAATATAAATTGAAACAGGTTGCCATTGGAACAAGGCTATTGTGTAATAGGAGGTCTTAAGACAATAGAACTTTGTATTACAAACCTTAACAGTTTCTGAACTCATTACGCCGTTGGTGGTTTATGATTACTTTAGAATATTATACTTTGGTAAATGTTTGTATAGCAAGGCTATCCGGTAGTGCCCAGATAAAAAAAAAAAAACTTATCTAATATACAATCAAATCGTTTTGCTAATTTTATATAACCTATAATTAATTATATTCTGAAATTAGGACGTAAATATACTAGCATTTTTTCCTATTTTCTTCGTGTATTTTTCTAATAGTAATAATAATAATATTAGCTTTTTCCTTATAAGGAAACATTCGGCATTCATTGGCCGAGTATCTAGTGCTACTCGAATTATACATTTCTCCCTTCCTTGGTCATCAAGCTGAGATCAAAGTGTAGTACATGTTCTCTTCATCTCTAATGGCAATGGTAATATTAGCTGTCCGCGGAAAATTATTAAATCTTTTCATGAAAACACTTTTTTTAGGATAATAGTTTTCTCAAGTCAACTGTTATACCTGTTTCCACTATTGATGGAGGTTTCCTTCCTAACTTTTTGTTTGAAGTTGTGTGGGGGGTCAACATCATGATTATGTCATCATTTTCTCTTTTAGTCGCATGTGCAATCCATTTTAGTCGTTGTTGCTGTTGAATACCCTCAGGTGATGGGGATTACGTTATTTGGTACAATTCTTTACTCGATAGCGAAGTACAAAGAAGGGTAGTCCTCGCTATTATCTATAGGTTTCATTCTCTCGAAGCTATTCTTAATTTGAGCTGAGGAAAGCGGTTGTATACAGTTGACACTTTAGATATTTCTGGATGGGTTCGACGCATGCATTACACTCAGATGAAAGTCTAGATCTGATGAGGCTATTTAAAACTCGAGTTGATGTTTTGGCTTTGTAGCAACTTGCGGTGTTAGGCGAATTTACCCTTAGCACAGTCTATGTTCATTTTCCTTACCTGCTATACTAAATTTGTAATAACTGATCCATAACTGAAGTATTTAAAATGTTTAATTCTGTATCCTGAAATTCTATCTATCGGCCATCGCCAACTGAAACAGTCCGGACAGATTCAAAATTCCAACATGAAATCCAACTTTGGGGAACGTGGATAACTTTCCTTATCTTGGTAGCCATCTATCTTCTAACATTGACCTTCAAGATAAGATGCAACACCGTCTCAAATGTTCAGGATCAGCTTTTGGTCGCCTTCGAAATAGAGTTTTCCAAGATCAGGACATCAGAAAAGGCGCCAAAATGTCAGTGTACAACGCAGTGATGATTCCAATGCTCCAGTATACCTCTGAGACGTGGACAACTTATCTGAAATTCCTTGAAAAAATTTCATTAGCGTTGTCTTCGAAACATCTTGAACTTCAATCGGGAAGAACGAACGGCAGCTTACTGGAACGAACTAGTGACCAGCATTTGACGCCTTCGTCATAAAAAAATCAATTTCGATGGAGTGAACATCCGGTGCGAATGGATGACACCTGCCTACTAAAGAAAATCTTTTAGTCCCAGCTCAAAGATGGAAATCAGAAAAGACTGGGTCAAAAGAAGTGATTCGAGGAATCGTTCTAAAAGAAAAAAAAACTGAAGAAATGTAACATCGATATCAACAGTTGGGAATCCAATATAATGGACAGGAATCTCTGGAGATTCATTGTCAGAGACGGAACAATCATCTTCGAATCGAAACGATGAGCCGAACTAGAGGGATAAAAAAAAAGAATACGTCAAAAAGAAAGACATCAACCAAGGCCTAATTCACTATCCGGAACAATCAGTCTTTAATGTCGAAGGACCTTTCAAGCAAAAATCAGTTTCATTAACCGTCCCAAAGAGTCCATAAAGCCCAACTGAGACAAACAGGACAAAATCATTATCCGCGACCTCGAGGAATAGCCACAACTGTGAGGTATTTGAAATATTTAGCATTTATTAATTCTCTATCCTAGATTTTTAATGATAGATTTAGGGTATGTGCTATCACTGCTCAATTATAATTATAAATCAGAGTTCCTATTTTGGAAAGGTTGATCTTGAATTCTCTAGAAACTTGCGAACCGAGCGCCATTTGCAGCCATTGATTTTAGAAGCACAGTTCTAGAATTATACCGAGGAATTCTGCAGAGATTCCTATGAACTTTTCTTTTTCCTGTTCTTAAATTTCCGTCTCTCCTTTCAACATTTGGCAGATTTTTACAAAAACAAAATTTAGATTGCGCCTTTTGGGTCATCAGGAAGATTTCCTCTCATCAGATAATCCACTCACCATTTCAACTTCTATCTTTTATTTATGTATTTCTTACACACACACACACACACATATATTTTATTTATGTATTTCTTACACACACACACACACATATATATATATATTTCTTTATATGTATCTAAGTTTACAAGCACGCCTTCTGTATATCTTTCTTTGTAAATGAATCTGTAAAAAGCACGTCTGAAATGTAGATGCCTTTGATGATATTCAATTTTCTTTCGTTATTTTTCTTTAATTTTTTTCCTAATTACTTTTTTATGTAATCTTTTGCTTACTTTTTTATGCTTTCCAGTTGTAGGCGATCGCGACTCTCCACAGCTTTCGTTTCTTCATTTTCTGTAAACTGCCATGATTCCTTGGAAAAGATAAAGAAGTGGTTTCGCGTTGCCGTCTCCCTAGTTTTTTTTTCTTTGTTTTTAATTTAAACTGATTTTACCCGACGACGAAGAAATCTTCCCGCTACTACATCCAGGAACAAGAAGAGAAACAGACAATTCGTCCTTTCCGTTTTATACCACAGATTGCCACGCCACCTATAGGCACTAAGCAAAATCCTTTGGCAGACAGGGTGAGGTAATCACACCTTAAAGACAATTTACATCCGAAGAAATCAGAAACAGGTCCATAAATAACAAAATAACGAAATTAGTGTACATATTTGGCAATTATCAGTCATTTTACAAGATTTTAATTTAATTTTTTTCAAGGTGCCATGTTTCTTCGGGTTGTACACTAGGGTTGTGACCTTTTATAAAATAATTAATTTCCTGTATCATAATTCGATGAACTTTTGTTAAAAAATAATGACGACATGTTTCATTCAGTTTCTTTTTAAAAAAAGATGTCACTCCCAACACGAAATTTCTAAAATCGTATATAAGTATAATAGTACTATGACTTTCTGGAGCCTTCTAGAATTTTCCAGAATTTGTTTTTCTTTGTTTGTAAGTTATGCTATAACTATAAACTGTTAAATGCGTTAAAAAATACATAAGTACTATCCAAATACATCATTAGGAAATTGAAAAATAAAGCTTTTGAAATATTTTGATTTTTTTTTAAACCCTTATTGCCTATATGGTAAAATCGAATTTTCAGTTGGGGAGGGAACCTTTTTTGAACGACTCAAACAAAATAATGGCGTTTTCATTATTTTGAACAAATGTTTATCAGTTGATGACACAGAAACTTAGGGTTACAAAAGAAATCATGACCCTAATGGACACAGTCGTGATATCTGGGAAACGTTTCCCCTAGCGAGGGGTGTTTGATATGAACCTTTTAAAACTCTATTCTACATTCAACACCATCATTTGAGAAGACACCAGAAGTGTTGAAACAAAATGGCTATTTTTGTAGTGATTTTATAACATTTTTATGTTATAATTTTCGATTAAATGATTATATTTGCTCTACTCTGTATTGAGCACTCTTTTAAGAATAGTATTTGTTCGTTATTGGAATTTATTCCGTATACACCAATCCTATACTTGGATATATATATATATATATATATATATATATATATATATATATATATATATATATATGTATGTATGTGTGTGTGTGTGTGTGTGTGTGTGTGTAGTTTTGTCACGTATTTTCTGAAATTCTTTGTTGAAGACAAAGACATTATTGAAATAGTCTTAGAGAAATGTCTTGATTCTTCACCAGCGGCATGTGGACCATTTTCAAATTGATGCTTTCTCTTCCTTCCCATTTGCATTCCTCCACGATATTTCCCTTGTCCAAGAATTTTCTGAAAAGTCAACACACACCATTTGTCGTCATAAATTAGGTTGTGAGTCGGGTGGGTAGGTGCATGCATATGCCTGGGTTGCCCAGTTCTATTGCAGACTGTGAAGAAGGCGGATGGGTCGGGTGTAAATGTTATTTTTCTATAAGTTAATTCAAAATGGCAAGCATTCAATAAATTCCTGACTAGTAATGCATTTACCTGCTCCTCGCTCTCGCAAAGTTAATTTGTTGGTCTCAAATTGTCTATGAGGAAATTAAGATAACACTCTCTTTGTAGAGGCTCAGGGGTGAG